TAATAAGGACAAGTGTTCCAGTACTTCTTATGACTGTGTTCATAAGATATTGGAATCTGCCATTTTGTGAAATAGTTGGTATCCCTTTACTACTATAATTAATTTTTGTCATTCCAGGAAATTTTTGTGAAGCCAGCCAATTAATAAGCACTTTAGCATCTGTTCAGGTAGTTTTGAAAACTAAGTTTCCCATTCAGGATAAGAACCTCCAGGTTACCTAAAAATGCAATAAAAACCTTTGTAGTCTAAGCTTCTTGGCACATAATTTTTCTTTTATTAAATGAGCACAATCCTCTCTCAGTTCCCTCTGCCCCCACCACCCATACAGTACTCCTTGTATCGTTTTTTAATTGTATCACTTTATGAAAGAAGTTGACCGGACATTTGCTGCACACACTTGAACTGTTGGGTCAGTAGCTCTGTGTCATTGCCCTGAGCCCAGTGTAATTCAGGAGGAAAGGTTTTTGTTTTTTTTTTTATGATACGGATATGTAACTATGTATTTTACTAATTGTGGTGAAACACTGGAAATTACAAAGCAGTCAACTTAGTGTGGTCTTTCAACAGCTCTCTGCAGTCTTTTTTTCTGTTACCATAATGTATTTGAGCACTTCCTCTCCATTGCCTTTGAGTTGTACCAATAAAACCATAACCCCGTTCTCTTTTTTTCCATTTGACACTCCTTAGCTCAGACTGATGTAGTTGATTTAGTTATCCCTGTAATGTGATTTTTGTTTTGACGTCATGGTGTATGCATTTGTTTTGTCACTAGTTGGGCATGTGCCAATAATATTCTGTCCATTTCTTAACTGCCATTGTGTTTGCCTGGATTTTTCCTCTTCAACTGAATAATGGCTTTTTGCATGAAAAGAATAGTTTTACTATTTAGACCTGTAAAGGGAAGAGAGAGTGAATGTATTGAACTTTGTAAACCTAAAAGGAATATTTGGATCCCTCAAAAAAAGGGCTATGTACGAGAGAGTGAATCGTGTGGTGGGAGCGACTTGAAGTCATAGGTCTGTAGGCAGGAGCCTCTGTTACTCCCTCTATCTAGGCTGAATGTAAAATCCCTTATGTTGTATAATGAGGATAATAACTATTTTTATTTGCCTATGGTAAATTTTGTTTCTAATAAAATGTCTTAGGCTCTAGTGAGAAATGTCTACTTGTAATTGCCAATTACTCCTTATTTGCCTGATCTGCTCTTGGCTAGCTTTTTGTAGGTTAATGCTTTTTCCTGAAAAATCTCACCATTCTAAATGTGTTTATTTGGGTGTGATCCTAAAAAGCCTGGATCAAGAGCACATCTAATATGCAACCTGAATCATCAGCTCCTATTCCGTCTGGATGTCTACAAGTGTTGGAAGATTCTGACCTCTTAAATCCTGTATTTTGCTTTTGAAATAAGGTGTGAAATGTTGTTTAGAACATTTAAGACTTTTGTGGTTTTGCTTGTAAGTTCAGCATCAGGTTTGGGAAAACACGTGTATTGTGAAAGCAAATCTGAATTTTCTGAGCTTGCATTGTCAGAAATAGAATTGCTCTCCATCAGGTCCCAGGAAATTGTGTATCTGGAATCGAAGAGATTTAACAGTAAGAATCCAGACTTTTAAATGTAATTGTTTTTTAAATGCTAATGTTTGTAAAGCACCTTCAATTCTTTGAATGATAGGTGCTATATCCTATCAGTGTAAATTAATAAAAAGATTATAGGAAGTTTCTCAGACCAATGCATAATCTATAGTATGTCTCAACAAGAAATTACTAGCTTTTTCTATTACTCAGTTTAAATGAAAAATGCTTATTCCTTCAGTTGGTTGCTTGACTAGTAAAGAGAAGTGAAACTTTTTCTTGTTTTGCCTTTGACTTTGAGCAAAATATTGTAGTTCTTTAAAGGCAATATTTATTGTTGTACCATGTACCCTGTACCCAGAAACATGCTCCATGAGACTGGTAGAACTTTCAATTGTGTTTTGACAGTGTGTAGCCACACTGATGAAATGTAGTAGTTACCACCAAAAAGATGTGGGATTTCTCTTAGCATGATGACAAACACAGTAGATGCTTGGGCAAGGTTGACTCCATATCCCCTTCTTAGTAGTTTTCTATTTCCTTGTCAGTCAGTTAATATATATATGGTATCTTTTCTTTTGGGCCAGATGCTCATAAGTGTAAGCTTAAGCTGACTTGGATCATATCAGGTATTTTAAATTTCATGAAATTATAGGAAGTTTCTCAGACCAATGCATAATCTATAGTATGTCAGCTTAATTATATTTCACTTAGTCCTTGGGTTCATACTATTCTCAGCATCTGCTTTTGTGTACAAATAGAAATAATATATAAGAGATAGCATGGAAGCACTATGAAGTACTGGAGAGAACATAGACTTTGGGACCAGATCTAGATAAAATCCCCATCTCTGCCAAGTAGTGGTGGTGGTGGTAGCTATCCTGTATTGAGTATTGCACATGCCTTATTTTCCATCCCTTACTGTGGCTTTTTGATTTCATTACCTCTTTCTTTTTCTTTCTTTTTTTTCAGATGAGGAAGCATGTAGAATAAGCAACTTGTACAGAACTGAAACTAATCAAAAGGAATATGAAGAAGTACTATTTCTATAGGTCATACTACAGTCTTATGCCCCCCAAAAATATTGATTTGTGATAGCTATGCTACTGTGAGGAGGTCTGATTCTCTGAAACTTAAAACTGTAGGCAGGAAAGCCAGTTCAATGTGCTGGAGCATGTCTGGCATGCAGGAGGCTCGAGTTTGATTTTCTAGCACACATGGTTCCTTGAGTACTGTCAGGAGTGATCCCTGAGTTCCTGAGCACAGCCAGATGTGACCACGAAACAAAAATATCACACCAAAATTATTTTAAAGAGTTATCACAGGATTGACCCCAGGATTATAAGTACAGATAAAATTCCCAGTGCCTGTTTCAAAGCTGCCATACTGAGAACTGCCTTCACCACTTGCCCAAATTTAACGTATTTGGAAAATAATTGCTAAGCATGTTGCTTGTGTATAATCACAAGTTTGGGGAAGGAAATGTTTGATACGACTGAATAATTGGGGAAGATGTAGGAAATGTGAAATAAAAACTGGGATGAAATGATAGATGCAACTTTTGGGGGGGTTGTTTTTTGGAAGTGGGCACACAGTGGTGCTCAGAACTTACTCCTTGCTCAGTGCAGTAGGATTATTCCTAGTGGGACTCAGGGAAACATGGTGCTGGAGATAGAACTTAGGTCTGCTGCATGCGAGGCAAGTGCCTTACCTGCTGGACGATCTCTCCGGTCCCCACGAAATCATTTTTAACATCAAAGATGTAAAAAAATCATATTAAAAGCCACTTTAAAATGTCATTTTGTGGGGGCTGGAGTGATAGCACAGCGGGTAGGGCATTTTCCTTGCATGCAGCCAACCCGGGTTCGATTCCCAGCATCCCATATGGTCCCCTGAGCATCACCAGGAGTGATTCCTGAGTGCAAAGCCAGGAGTAACCCCTGTGCATCGCTAGGTGTGACCCCCCCCCCCAAAAAAGTCATTTTGTGAAAAGCTGCATCCTCATTTTTGCTATTTCTAAAGAATGGTGAGAGGTTTATCCCCAGTTGTTGATGTGTAATATTCTAGCCCAGTGTTCTTCAGTCGTTTTATGTCTGTGGGTGGGCCCCTGTGCTGCTGACCCATCAACAGGTCGGCTGATGTAACCAAGATGATAAAACCAGCAGAAACTTTTCTGTCTTGGTATGTCTGTGGATTGACACTTGTTTGTGGGCCAGTGGTTGAGACCACTGCTTTAGGCTTCCAAGTTTTTTAATTTCTAATTTTGGGGTCAGATCTGGTAGTGCTCAAGGCTTACTCCTGATTCTGTGCTCAGAGATCACTCCTAATGGGCTCAGGGGACCATATGGGATGATGGGGATGGAATCCATGTTGGCTCTGTGCAAGCTAGCTCCTTACCCACAACACTCCCATTCCAGCTCCAGGCTTTCGTACTTTTGATGTATAAAGTTCTTATGAAATAGGAATTTTAAAAGTACAGTACCTCTTTCCAGCTCCAAACAGATGCGAAGGAAAAGCAAAAACTATCCAAGGAATAGAGAGGTTGAAGGTGATACCAGAGTAAAGGAAGAAATGCATATACTCATGAGCTACGCCTTATTTTCAAGGATGACATTAAAAGTCAAAGAGAAAGGCAGCTAATATAGTGCTTACGTGCTGGTAGTCTTGCATGCTTGGGTCTGTCAACAAAAATTAAAATTAGCGTGTAGAAGTTAAACTATACGGATCAAGGACGGTTAGCACACATTCAAGCTCATTTAAGTTTTCAAAATGGAACACGTTGCTTTTAGTTATGGCATCAATCCTGTTGGCTTTGTTGATTTTTCTTTTATGTTAATTAAAAAAATCTCATGCTTTCTTAGAATCTTCGCCTATATTTCTTATCTTTTCCGCAAAGGACTGAATTACCATTTTGATCAATACCTCTGGCTGGGTCCTCTATGAAGAGTATCTGCGAGCCCAGAGACCATTCCACCAATGATGTAGACAGGGCCTGCAGAACACATGCGCTGCTTCAAAACGAAGCTTAATTTGGAGAGCTCCCTCACGGTCGCACCTGCCCGAGAACTCTGAGAAATTGCAGAGCCTGACTTCTCGTGTTGGCAAGATGCAGTGTTGGGGGGCGCCAGCAGGTGTGTGGGATGCAGGACACTCAGTTAGGGAACCTGCCAGCAGGTGTCTGGCGCCGGAGGTGCAGTTCCGACTTTCTGGCGCACGGTGGCGCGTAGGTCTCCCCGCTTCCACTTGCACTCCCTAAGGCACCTCCGCCGCCACCTGCCATCTCAACCAAACTCTGGGCGGCGGTATGTGACGGCCCGGGCGACCAATCAAGCTCCCGAGTTCCGGCCGCACTGCGGCTCTAGCCAATGGGGGCCAAGGAGAGGCGCGGAGGGGGCGGGCTCCGCAGCAAGCCTGGCCGAGGCGCGAGGCCCTCCTCCCGCCTCTCCGCCTACTCCTACCTCCGCCGCCTCAGCTTCCCGAGCGAGCCCCGCGGCCGCCGGAGCAGCTCCCGCGGCGGAGCCGGAGCCGGATGGTCAGAGGAGCCCGGCAGTCCCAGCAGCCGCGGAGTCGCCTGGCCCCCAGGTGGCCCGGGGCGCGGGTGGAGGTCGGGGCGCGGGCGCGGGCGCGGGCCCTGGGCAGCTGCTCCGGGCCGTGCCAGCGTCGGGGGCGCCGAGCCCTGGAGGCGGGGGGCGGGCCGGGGGAGACCCGGGCGCGGGCTGGGCGGGCGAGGCCGCGGGGGGCGTGTGACGGCAAGCCGGGGGGGGGGGGTGCGGGGGGCGCGGTGGAATGCGGGGGGCGCGGGCCCGGAGGGGCGGGGCCCGGAGGGGGTGGGCGCGGGGAGCGGGGAGGCCCGAGGGGCTTGCGGGGGTGACGAGGCAGACAATGAGGAGGTGGAGGTGGGTGGTTTGGGGGAGCAGTGCTGTGACAAACAGGCGCCGAGGCCGGAGCGAGGGGCCTGGAGGCGGAACGGGGTCTGGGCAGGGCAGACGTTTGGGGAGCGGGGAGCCCCGCTTTGCCCCTCGGGGTGCACGGGGAGCGGAGCTAAGCTTCGAGCCGGTCCCTCTGCAGGAGACACGTTCTTGACGGCACCGTAGGGCCGGAGGTCGTCTCTGGCCGTGACTTTTAGTGACCGTCTTGTTTTCTGTTTGCCCTGTAGACTGACTGGCACAGTGGAGAAACCGCCTCGAAAACGGAAAAGCAGGTAAGGCCGAGCGCTGTCCCCGTGTGCCTCGTGTTTTTCCACTTGCTCGGCTACTCTGCTCCCCGCCTGCATCATTATATTACTGCCAGTAGACCAAGTTTTTTTTTTTTTTAATTTAGCTCCTTTCTTATGAATGGAACTATATGCAAGATCATCAGAGGCCTTCAAAATACTACCTGTACACTTTGTGCGTGTGTGCGTGTGTGTGCACACGTGTGTGCATGTGTGTGTGCAAAGCGTGCACCTGGTGGGGTGTCTAAGATAAGGGGAAAGAGAGGATTCATGGACAAATTCGAGGCTTTCGCTTTAGTCTGAATTTTAACTTCTGCACCTTCTCTCTGGAAAGCTAGTGTTCAGGGAATGATTATCATGAACCAGTACTGTGTGTACTTGATTTATACAAAGTTTCTTCTGTAATCCTTGATGCCACTCAAGGAAGTATGGATCTTTATCACTGTTTTGCTGAGGGGAGAACTGAAGCATAGGGAAGCCAAATATTTACCCAGTCTGACAAATGTTGGAACCAGGATTTGAACCCAGACAGTTTGACCCGGGTGCTTCATTTGTATCTTATAATGTATCTAATAAATATGCAGTTAAAAAATATTTTTCTGAGCCTGGAGAGGTAGAACAGGGGTTAAGGCATTTGCCTTGCATTGGGCAAACTGCACTTAGATCCCGAAGCACGATGACGCTTAGGGATCTAAATGAACACAGAGCCAGAATAGTCCCTGAATACTGCTGGATGTGGCCCCCTCAAAATACTTAGAAAAATAGGTTTTGGGGCCAGGGAGATAGTATAGCAGGTAAGGCTCTTGCCTTGCATGCAGCTGATCCGGGTTTGATCCCCAGCACCATGTATGGTCCCCAGAAGCTCTGCCAACATTGATTCCTGAAAACAGAGCCAGGAGTAAGCCTTGAATACTGCTTAATTTCCCTCGCCCACTCAAAAAAAAAAAAAAAGGTTTCTTTCACAGGTACATAAGGTCTAATAAACACTTGGGCCATAGCACAGTAACAGTCATCTTTAAACAAGTGAGTTTTTCATTAAGTTGCAGAGAAGAGCACATACTTCCACAATTTTTTTTTGAGGGGTGGGGTTTACATGCTGCTGAGCTGAGAGCTTATTCCTGGTCCTCTGCTCTGGTCAAGGTGTCAGAGATAGAGCCAGTGTCAGTTACATGCACTCTGGACCCAGGTTCTGTATTGGACTGTTTTCCAGAACAAGAAGGTAATAAAATTCAGTTTCTAGGTTTGTGTTTAGTAACACAAACACATGTTCAAGAGAAGCACAACAGTTTTTTGACTGTTAGACATCCCTCAGAGTGGTGACTAGTTTTGTAGGGGGAAAAACTTTCTAGTAATAAATAGAGTAGTGAGTTTCTGTTTTTGTAGGCCTCCTGGTTGATGCTCAGGAGCCTCAGGGCCCCTCCTGGCGATTTTCAGCCAGCTTGGCTCCAGGTTCTCTCCTGTGGTTGTGCTCTGTGCTGCTTGGGTCCTGCCATGCCAGAGTGTACCATCTTGGCAGTGCTTGGGAGCTCAGGACCATATCCAGAGGTGCTCAGAGTATGGTCCTGGGCGACATAGTAATGCTTAGAGGATCATGTGCCAGGGATTGAACCGTGGTTGACTGCATACAAGGCATGTAAAGGCCTTAGATTTTGTAGTAACGAGTTTTCCAGACCTTATAGGACAAACTTTTTAAAAGATTGCTTCTAACAATGCTTCATAATCCAGATTCAGGTCGTGAACATAAGCCAAAGAGCTAAAGCAACGTGGTTTAAATTTGTGGCTCACTGATGGTTTTGCTAGGTTCAGAGAAGGATGGATAAGTTCCAAGGACTCTGCTTAATCCCTAGCGCTTAAATTGTGCCTGGCACCTCCAAACAGTTGATTAAATTATTGAATGATTGAATCTTTAAATAATTCCATGAATATTATCTTCTCTAACCAGATTTTGGTAAGCAGTGGATAGCAATGAGTTTAAGCTTATATTCTCAGCTAGCAACCACGAAAGCACATATTCTGCATGTCTGATTATGGTCAGATACTCCTCGGGTCAGGTCTTTGACCTCGACAGATAGCTAGTATAGATAAAGAAGTATTACGGACAAGAATAAGTTTGTTTCCCCCCCCCCCCCCCCCCCCAGAAAGCAGGGATTGTTCTAAAAATCAAAAACAAAGTGGCTAGGTAAAATCTTATAAGGTGGATTTTAATGAAAGGATCTAATAGTTATAGCCAGAATTCCTTGTTTGTGATTGGTGGATCTGGAAACCTTCTCCCAGTTTGGGACCTGGGATTTAAACCTGCTGGTGCTTAGAAATTGTGGTGTCAAGACTGAACCCGGACTTCTCATATGCAGAATTTTTCTCGGCCCTTTGCGCTCTCTCCTTGTCTAAGACTTTTTTTGTTGGGGTGAGGGGGCTTGTAGGCCCTTCTGGGCTCAGGGCTTACTTCTGGCTCTGTGCTCAGTAATAACTCCTGGTGGTGCTTGGGTGACACTATATAGTGTTTGGGATCAAACTTGGGTTGGCTGAGGGCAAGACAAGTGCCTTATCTACTGTACTATCTCCCTGTCCCCAGATTTTACAACTGGCATTAACAGTTACATATGGTGACCAGAAAGCTCTCTATTTCTGGTGTGTGTATGTTGGGAGGAGGGCGGGGGGGGGGGCATATGTGGTACCAGGGATTCAGTCATATCTAAGGAACCAGAAGGACCTTAGTTCTTTTATTATTATCACTAACCCCTTCACATCAAATAATATGACTTTGCAATGAGCACTGAAAAATAAATTAATAGCTAAATACGGCTTTTAGTTTTCCTTTGAGTTGACCTACAGAGTAGAGTTGTTTAATATCATATATCCTGTTCTACTTTGAAAATGGGGTGCTGCAATTTTGATTTTAAGGTAGCAGTATTAAGTCTTGTTTAGTTTTTTGGGTTTTTTTTGGGTTATACCTGGCGATGCACAGGGATTACTCCAGGCTCTGCACTAAGGAATTACTCCTGGCAGTGCTCAGGGAACCATATGGGATGCTGGGAATGGAACTTGGGTCAGCCGCGTGCAAGGCAAATGCCCTACCCGCTGTGCTATTGCTCCAGCCCCCACACACCAACATTTTACTTCATATATTTGTTACAACACAAAGGCGAATGGAGTTACCAAAACTTAGATCAACAAAAGTCAATTTGTGATCGTTGTTCTATCTCACAATGGTGTTACTAAAGTCATTGAAAATTTACTGGGTTGGTTGCTGCTAGTTGAGCCCTCTGTGTTACTGTTTTTGTTCTTTGAGCTTGGTGGTTTTCTGTTCAATTTTTCTGTCAGATTTACTGTGATAATACGGGGCTGTCAAGCTGTCAAGTACTATGAAATTTGAAGATGTTGTGAGCCACATATGTGGCTGCACAGTCCAGGAACTGTGAAACCGATGTCTTGGCAATTTGATAAGGTTCAGTGGTAAAGCTGGGCCATTTCTGTGTTGGAGGGTGTCTGGTGTGGCTGCGGGCTGCTGGGCCTTTAGGTAGAAATTCCTCTCCCCCTCCATTTTTAAGTCTTTATTTATTTTTTTGCTTTTTGGGTCACACCCCGCGATGCTCAGGGTTTATTCCTGGCTCTGCACTCAGGAATCACTCCTGGCGGTGCTTGGGGGACCATATGGGATGCTGGGAACCAAACCCAGGTCGGCTGCGTGCAAGGCAAACGCCCAACCCCCGCTGTACTATCGCTCCAGCCCCTAAGTCATTCATTTTGATAGACATTAGTGACTAAGTTACTTTATTAAAGAAACTTTTTTTTTTTTGCTGTTACACAGTTGAATTATCTCTTGAGAATATTCCTGGTACAGACCAAGCTATAAGGCAGTTTAAGAAGCACTAAGGAATTGGAGATTAGCAAGCACTTCACACCATACTGCTATTGCCTTGTATCATTTTTTCCCACTAAAACTTATTTTTCCTTGTTTTAGTTCATATTTGTAGCCCCAGCATTGAGGGGGTGCTCAGTAAAATTCTTAATTGGTGGCATGAGATATGTAGTATGGGATAGGGCTCTGGTGGTCCAGAAGAATTTGATAGTATTTCATGCCTCTGATAAACTGCTAGACTGAAAGGAATTTTAAGATTGGAAACTTGATCTCCGTGTGGTTTTGGAACATGCTGAAGTCTTCCGTGTGTCTCCTAGCAATATTTGGGTTATGGGTTAGAGCAGTGTCTCCCAAAGTGGGCTGTGCTGCTCCCCTGCCTGCCTTGGCCTGGGGTGGGTGCTGGAATGATGGGGGCTTGTCATAGCCTTGGGTACAGTTAGAGTACGCTCTCTGTTCTTTGCTAGAAATCTGTTAGCTTTCTTTCTTTTTTTTTTTTTTTAATGTAGGAGTACTGCTATTTATTCAGCCACTGATTAGCTGATTGAATTGGGCATGAACTCCACCTTACTTTTTTTAAATTTTTTTAATAATTTTGGGCTGGAGCGATAGCACAGCGGGTAGGGCGTTCGCCTTACACGCGGCCAACATGGCCGACCCGAGTTCGATTCCTCCGCCCCTCTCGGAGAGCCCGGCAAGCTACCGAGAGTATTCGATATGCCAGACACAGTAACAACAAAGTCTCCAATGGAGACGTTACTGGGCCCGCTCGAGCAAATCGACGATCAACGGGAGGGCCTTTACCTTTTTTAATAATTTTATTTATTGAATCACCGTGAAAACAGTTACAAAGCTTTCGGGTTTAAGTCTCGTTCATACAATGAAACACCTGTATCTTTACCAGTGCCCATTCTCCACCACCAAAACCCCCAGTATATCCCCATCCAACACCCTTCCCCTACCTGTGGGGCAGATGATTTCCACATTACTCTCTCACTGCTTTGATCACATTCAATATTTTGACACCAGACTCACCATTATTATTTGGGATTTTACCCCAACACTCAGATCTGCTGAAAAGGCAACAGTAGACAATTTGTTTTCTATTGCTGGTTAAGAATAACATATGATG